TTTCATTAATCAATAGGACTCACTATCTTGTGAACTCTAAGAGAAATGTTCACTATCGTTTGACTTGTCGCTTTCAGACATTTCCAAATTTCGTGAAACTTTAGTTGTAGAATTTTTTATCTCTGTTATTTTAGGATTGGGCGTTTTTATGATCTTGTAATTAATTTTTTTTCTAGCTGCTGTGATTGCCCCATTGAAGTATTTGTTCAGTTTAGTTCTATTCATTTGCTCTTCAATAAAAGTCTGTGGCATATGTCTCTTATCTTTCATCCACTGGCAAAACAATGATGAAACAGCACCTTTCTTAGCAGAAGTTAATGGCGGTTCCTTAACATTGCGTTGTTCACGTACAGAACGTTCAGCCAGCTTGTCGGGTCCCCAGACAGCATAGCACGCATTTCTTATAAATGAGCTGAACTCTCTCTCACGCATAAGTTCCTCGTAAATCACTTTAGGTATCCAAACATCATTTCCTATATGGATTGTTAGTTCTTTAACCGTATATTAATTTCATTTTTATCTTTAGGTGCATTATAATCAATATCATCTGCAATTATTACAAACATTGAAACATTTTATAAATATTGAATTTAATAGTATGAAATAAATTCTAACCACGAATTGTACGGTTGCTGATCGTTTCCAGGATAGTAACAATATCTTTTCCGGTTTTTTCTGTAAGGTTGTAATTTCCAGATTCTTTTAAAGTATTATATTGTTCTTCCCAATGCCTTGCTCTGTTTTCAGCATGTTTTAGTTTCTGTAAACATTTATCTAATTCTTTTTGTTTTTCTTCTAATAAATTATTACTCGAACACCTATCTTCTTCGCTATCAGAAACATTGGATGCTTCACTTTTATCATCAGCACTGGAATGTAAACTGTTGCTTAGAAGCTGTTACATAAGCAGCAATAATAGAAGCATTTGTCTCCTTTGTAGATTTTTTACAAAGCTCTTGATTAATCTAAAAACAATGTATTTAAAAATTACATTAATTCTGCATTACATACGTAGTAAATACAAGAAAGTGTTTCAAACTAAGGTTGCACGATTCTAAATCAATCCGATTCTTTCCTGAACAAATTTGAAGGAAAGGGTTGTTCGTGATGTTTGTATACCTATTTCGCACTTTCCACTTTTAAAAAGAAACATATTCGGGCGCTTGAAAGAGTTAGTTGTCTCGCTCTTGCTTCTTTCAAGCATCAAAATATGCTTCCGTCCTCGTTCTAAATGCGAAAAATGCGAAAAGTGCAAATAACACGAATAAACCTATTTTTGGAGGAAAAAATGGAATCAATTCGGAAAATCATGCAGTCCTATTTCAAACCTTTTGTTGTCAAACTAATGTAGTCAACCTAATGTATTCAATATTTAAACGATTATTGTCATAAAAATAATTTTATATCTTTTTGTACACATAAAAAGTTATTAATGATAAAAATCAATATATCTAAATATTTGTATATTACGAATATTAACAGTTGCGTTAGTATGTCAGTTCACTCAAATAAAAACATTTTAAGGAGGTACGACTATTACTTGTGAGTAAAAAATGCAACTGAAACAAATGTCACTACAGCGATCCTGAATTAGATGCAATATTAGTGTAATGAATTATGGATGCTACTTATGTGCTACATTCTTCGTAAATTGTTAGTGTATAGAATATTAAGAAATATATTGTAATGAATAAGAGCGTCAACGACTCGGGAATCGCTTATTATCGAACATTATAGGTTAAAACCTACACTTTGCGACAATAAAACTTTGAATACACACGGTAAAGTCCGATTTTTAAGTTTTTTACACAATCCTTAATGTTTCATGTGTCAAATGTTTGTTTTTCAAAGTCCTAAGTTGACTATAAAGTGTGTACTAAATAAGTAATCATCTACCTCGAGTGACCGTTTCCCATAAGGCGATAGGTGAAAAGTGGTCAACTTCTGAATAATATTACAAGAAAACTGTACGGTCAATATTGCTCAAATTTTTGGAGTATTTCTATAAAATGTTTACGTAAATCATACAAAAAAATTAAGGCTCTACGTTGGCTTTCGAGTAAAATAGAAGGCTTTTACTTTTACCTCGCGGATCAAATTACTTAGCAGACAGACTTGGCAACGCCGCAGATTCCGTAATGCAACAGATGATGCGAACCAAACCTCACTCCGCTTGACATTTATTTCTACGTGAATTTTTGTAGATTTTTAAGTCCATTTATATTTTTCTGTGAGGTCTGCTAATTTATACGATAAATCTTCAATTACTCTCTTCGTTTTCGTGATTGGTGGATGACCACCGACATCTTACCCCAGAAGAATTTCAATCCCAAGTAGAACATATTAGTCGTGAAAACATCAAGATGACATCATTTTTGGATCATTCTTTATGCATCATGGTGACGTCAAAACAGCCCACCGAGAGCACCTATTTGTGACATCATTAACGTAGTTGTTTCGCGACAGTAGTTTCTTCCAGACAGGAACCAGCACTCAATTATTACAATGATATATCTTGATGCAATATTGTTCTAAAGAATACACTTACGATTAATACATAATATAAAATAGATTCGAAAGATTATAGTTTGAGTCGCTGTTGCCGCATCTCTTACACTACACTCATATCTTCTACATAATTCTTCCAATTTTTCAGTTTTAACTATTTATTGTTGGAACGTTGAACGGTCAATAATTTTGATTTTTTCCCAGCTATTCGTTCTATTTTACTTTATAACATATTTGTTTCTCACACGAATCTCACTCACTGTTAAGCTTAAAAAAATCAAATTTGCCATTATTTGCGTTTGCAACCGCAAATATTAATATTTTCGCACGTAATAATATGTATAAATAATATTTTACGTGTAATAATATTTTTAACGTGTTTTACACGTGAAATATTACGTGTAACATAGCAAACTTTATAGTTTTTTGGGGGGGACTTTGAGACGGTCAATTTTAATTTAATTAGTCTTATTTTTCACGTATTGATGTAAAGAATTAACGGTAAAAATTTGAAACAATTCTTACATAAATGATTTTACGAAATAACTATTATATCTTAAGACATCAAAATGTTGTAAAAATGACCTTGTTTCACAAAGCAAAGTTAATTAAATATTATACATTAAAAATAAATTGAAGTAATATAAGATAAACGTAATATCTATATGACTGATCATGTAATCTGTAATAATATATTATTATACACATCACGAATATCATAAAACAGCATGTCATAAATCAGTCATTGCAAAGTAAATCTTGATGTCGATCATTTTATGACGTAATATTCATCATTTTAATGTCACCTTGACGTTTTTGTGATTAACTTGTTCTACTTGGGAATTCCTCGACGTCCACTCGTGTTATACGATTGCAAAAGATCTTCCAAAGTTATTCCAGCTTTTGCAATTTGTGTTATCATACTTGTTGAGATCCCCAAGGGCTTAGCATCCGGTTCCTGAGGATTTGATTTGTATGAAAAATTGCAATGGGACAGTAATTTAGGGAAATTGTATTTTTATAACTACTATTATTTTTATTTAGCACATAACCTCCTGTGGCTACAAAATACAATTATTATTCGTATCAACTCATTTATATTTTTCTGTGAGGTCTGCTAATTTATACGATAAATCTTCAATTACTCTCTTCGTTTTCGTGATTGGTGGATGACCACCGACATCTTACCCCAGAAGAATTTCAATTCCTCGACGTCCACTCGTGTTATACGATTGCAAAAGATCTTCCAAAGTTATTCCAACTTTTGCAATTTTTGTTATCATACTTGTTGAGATCCCCAAGGGCTTAGCATCCGGTTCCTGAGGATTTGATTTGTATTTGAGGCATTCGAGCAAAGTTTTGAGGATTTTGCATTGCAAGGAGCATTGTTCTTGAGCAATTAGAGACTCCACCGTTATTGCATTTTCCAGGATCTGTTTGTTTGTAATATTGATATCTGGATGCGCTAGGAGGTTCTGCAACATTGCGACGTCATACAGTGCATTTATATGTGCACCTACCACAGCTTTTGACCCAAGATATTCTTCGACTAATGTAGACTACTTGAAACTTGCCTTTGTAGCCCGTCGCTCTATTAACTTGTTCTTTAGCATTGGGAGAGTATCTGCGAAGCCATGGACCACAGATATAAACTCTTCAAGAATTCCTTGCTTTTGAACAAATTTAATTATCAAAGGAGCATCAATTAACTTAAAACCGTTATGAGCTGTTAAAACTATACTCTGAGCGATGGAGCGTAAAAATGTTAATAAACCACTAATAGC